TCTTCCCTCTTTAAGTATAAATGTCCTAAGGAATCCTAAGATTAAGTTGTCAGCAGAAGGCCTGAGTTAGATTCAGTCACATAATATCTCCTTACTTTGTCCAAGGTCTGATCAGAACTAATACTGAAAACTGATCAGCTTAAAAAGTACTGAGAGAAGTATGCAGAAGTGTGTATTGGTGTAAATGTATGTTGTATCTGTGATTTTACTTCTATTCCAGTCCCATTCCTGCGGATTCCAGTCCCATTCCTGCGGATTCCGCTCCCATTCCTGTGGATTCCTGTGGATTCCAGCAGATTCCGGTCCCATTCCTCTGGAATCCACCGGAATCCGCAGGAATGACCGGAATCCTGCAGGAATGGGAGGGGCACTGTAAAGTACTGCAAAAACATGCTGATGGCTATGAGCTTTGGGAAAGTTCCATGATTTTTCAGTATTCATTGCCATATATTCCTTGTAAAACTGTAAGGTTTGATATCCTATCAAAAGAGATTTTACTCACATGTAGCAATGTCTCGAAGACAAGTAGTTCAGCCCGACCTGCTGCAATGGTGGATTCAGTGTGCACTGTCAATGATACATACATGTCCAGCTCTAAATAACTCCGGATTAGTTTAAGGAGATGAAATCCTTCCTTTGAAACATTCTTGGAGAGAATGTTGTGGGCTGCAAAGACAATAATCTGATATATAATGACTACCTTCCATTTAATAAAAGAGGAGTGACACTACTCACCTTTGATATATCCTCATACTTTGATCCATCAGCAAATTCTGTTTTCATAATGCCACTAAAATGATTGAGGCCACTTCAAGAAGGGATTTCAGAAATCCTAAAGAAAAAGCCAAAAGTTATAGCAAAGTTGAAACTTGATGCATAGGATGTTAACATACTGAGTATCAAGCAATTTGGCAGACTCCTTTCCAAGCTCATTGATATGTCCTTTTACTTCTGGCAGCAAGTGGTCTGAGAAAAGACTGCCATGATAAGCATGAAGGCGATCAAATGAAAGAGCTCTATGTATATCTGAACCACGGAAGGTCCAGAAAACATTCTATTACAAAAAACTTCAGTGAAGAATCAGATTTTATAGAAAATTCTTGCCTCAACATCACAGAGGCCAAACTCTTTGAGAAGCTCATCTTTTGGACCAGATAAAAGCTTCTGTGCAGCTCTATATATTTCTTCCATCTTTTCTGCTCTCCTTTCTGGGTATATCTTTGATATATTGGCTTGCTCAGTAGCAGGAACAAGGCAAATTGGACATGGGAAGTTGCTTCCAATCCCTCAAATTGAGGAAAACATGCACCTGAAAGATACATGAGTCTATATGTCAAATAATATTAGAAGATCATACTGTTTGTCGGAGATTTATTTCTTTTGTCACAACCAGCCGAAATTGGGATGGCATTGAATTGGCATTCTAACCAGTGCTAACCGTTGAAAGTTCTCTATTTTTCCATTTTTTAGCCCAAAATTGGCTACAATCACACCGGAACTCCTGTTGCCACCTGTTGCAACCAGGTTGCCACCCTGGATGGGACCAAAATTGTAACCAAAAACTCTTTGGTTGCTCCTAGTTATAACGGCAATTTTGATAGGAACGTCCACAACAAGTTAGAACCGGTTGTGATGCCGAATTAGAAAACTCCGACATTCCTCATAGTCAGCAGATGCAATCAAGATGAACCAAAATATGTGTCGATCAATACTGTCTGCACAATTGGTAAATGTATAGCCTGTTTTGAGGTATTGTTGGATGGATTCCAGAATGTGGAAAAATGCCTTGTGCCAAACAACTCATTTGAAATTGACGCATCCTTTTTTCCCTGCTTCTCCAGAATCTTCATCTATCTGTAATTGTTGAGAGTTAGTTCTTGTAATTCAATGAACTAAACAGAGTATGAGCTTACCACTGGAAGCAATCCAAATACTCTTCCACCTGCAACACCTATTCCATTTCTGATTCCAACATCCAAGTTGGCTGGCCGACCAATCACTGGATAGCCCTTGACTGAACCAAAGGATGATAGGCGTGTCTTATCTGCATAAATAATCATGCAAAAAGGAAGTGCACCAGGTGGAAGGGTTGACTAAAGGCATTTTTTGTAGTCAGGTTATTGACAATAGTAATAACCAAAAGATCCTACTTGAATTCTCCACCAGGCATCAGCTGTCCATGGTTCATCTATAAAACGTTCAAATTTCGAGCCATCATACTTGTAGTGATGCTCAGCATGCCAATGAAACTGCGAAATAAGGCCAGGGTCGGCAAGCAGTTGCCGCGTCCACTCAAACAATGAATATGTCCAAACATCATGAGAGATTTCATCTCCTTTGTATGGGACAGAGATAGTGGTTTTTTTAAACTGCAAATCAGGGGGTTAGAAGTCGTAAGTAATTAAATAACATAATTTGAAAGAACAAAAATCCATACTCCTGAAGTGCGGGCCATCCGAGCATTCTCCCATACATTTTCTAAATCTGTACTGTTCTCAAGTGTGAATTCAGATGGCGTTTTGATGCATTGGTGAATAAGTGAGAGAAATTGGTTGGTCTGGGACTTGTTCATATGTGTATCCAGCATTACTTCCGCAATTTCAAAATCCAGGCATGACTGAAAGGGTTTCCATGGTTCCGAATCAACTGGGCTGTTGAGAGAAGTTTTGCTGGATGTCGTGTATTCCTCAAAATGGAATATCTGAGCAGGCTTTCCACTATTTGGATGAAACTCAACCTTGATATCATCCAGATGGAGGTCATGACATGTGTCATTCTCACCCATATTGTCAAAATCTGCGAAAGCAGCCATCTTAGAATTATTTCAATTTTATCATTATTGTAAGCATACCAATAAAATGAGAATTATCCTCCTCATCTGACTGTAGTGGTGCTTGACCTTGTTGTTGCATGGGGCTAACTGTGGGTAACACTGGAGTTAAAATCAGTGACTGCATTCTTTCACAGTCAAGTTTGTCTCATCACCTATATTTTGGGAGCCACTTGCAGTATTTATGACTGCCCCTGGAACAAATGAAGCTATTCCAATGAACAGATCAGTGAAAGGCTTCCAAAGAAATTCTGCTAAACCCACGCAACAGCCCTTGTTGTCGGACACGATCTTCAAATGCCTTATCTGCGGCATCAGTCTCACGCAGTTTCAATCGACATGAGCATTCATGGCTTGCGAGACCTCTGGAAGCAAATTCCTTGCTGCAATACTGACAAGGAACCTTGGCGGCATCAGTCCTCGTACTCACTTTGGCTTTGGGAGCCATATCGCACAGTTACGGAGGGTGGTAGTAGACGTGGAACCCACAATCTTATCACGCTGATCACTGCTGGAGTATCTATTTATATCAAGGCTCACCTCATCAGGTCAGTTAAGGGTTGTTACAGGATTGGTTCGTTCTGCCAAGCCCTGATGATGCCGGCGACCTACATTACAAGCCAGCTGCCTGATAAGGTGCCTGGGAAATTTCCGACAGAATGCTGCATTTGGATGCAGAATCAGTTGAGAACTTGGTTTATTACAAAGATGAGAAGCAGAAAGTTTCTATAGTAGAGGTGGATCCTTGGCTGGCCCAACAGAGCACTGCAGTTTATTCTGAGGAAAAGTCTCAGTTCCTCAGTGATGACTAAATTCTATCAACTTCACAATTTATTTCTAGTTGAGGCTTTCTATAGAGTCTGGAATTGAACCCAGGTTGGCCATGAAGGGAAATCCTGAAGAAGCACAATAACCTACTGTGCCATACTGCCTACACAAACACAGTTACCAATATATGTAATTTTTGAAAAACAGGGTCCTTGTCCCAGACATGACCCAGAACCTCAAACACTGCCATTGCCATTAAAATTCACACTAAAAGAGAACTCCACATGCATGTGGACATGTTGAGTTAAATGGCAATAAACAGGTAAATACAGCAGCAATACTATGCCCATGATACCTATAAATCTAAACTCATCAAGTTGGCAGAATCTGAACTCAAGTATAGTTTTGTATTTAATATTCCAGCATACCTACAGTGACTCACTATAAGTTTTGCACCACATAAAAAATACTATATCTTCCTCAAGTTCTGGGGACTAGTTACCATATAAATATGATAATATACAAATATTCTATATACATCTTTGACATGAATATGAGGTCTGGATCTCATGCCCAGCTTCATGTAGGAAAAAGTGAAAAAATGAGGTTTTGACAGCTCCACAAATATGTCATGTGAGAGTCTGAAAAAATATGAAGAATTAAGTACTACCCTACTCAAGTATCAGAACTTTGAATCATTTCAATTGGAGTAGCGGTTGTTTAGATATAGGTGTAAGAAAGGGGCTTGTTTTGGGTAGATCAAAAATGAGGTTTTGACAGTTTTACAAATACTTCATGTGAGAGTTGGAAAAAATATAGTACTAGCCTACTCAAGTATACAGAACCTTGAATCATTCCAATTGGAGTAGTGGTTGTGGAGATATAGGTGTAAGAAAGGGGCTTGTTTCATCATCTACCCCAAAACAAGCCCCTTTCTTACATCTATATCTAAACAACTGCTACTCCAATTGAAATGATTCAAAGTTCTGATACTTGAGTAGGGTAGTACTTAATTCTTCATATTTTTTCAGACTCTCACATGACATATTTGTGGAGCTGTCAAAACCTCATTTTTTCACCTTTTTCTACATGAAGCAGGGCATGAGATCCAGACCTCATATTCATGTCAAAGATGTATATAGAATATTTGTATATTATCATATTTATATGGTAACTAGTCCTCAGAACTTGAGGAAGATATAGTATTTTTTATGTGGTGCAAAACTTATAGTGAGTCACTGTAGATGTCAAACATTATAATACCAGGCAAGGATGAACACACCTTAAGGCTGTACATTGTTGTAAATTTTTAATTTGCCCATCTCATCTAAAGATTGAAATAAAATTATGAGCAAAACATGGCCAAGGCCCAAGTGATCAAAGCATGGCAGTTTAAAGAACAGGGTGCTCTATTACTAGGTTATCAACAAGACAGCTATATTAACAAACGAGACATCATGAGAAGATGCAGTGCACTCAATGACAGTGATGTCTCAATGCCAATAGCTTTATTTGCTAATCTTCCCTCCATATCATCCCCAGAGGCTGGTTCTCATTGATAAGTCCCAACTCCCCCAGTGCCAGTGGATTGATCCGTTGATACAACATTTTCTATTTAGACATACAAACCCATCTTCATGCTGCCAGTCAGTGTTGAAGAAGACCCCTCGTGACCTCATTTATTTATGTGTACGTCTTGTTTGCACCCCCTCGATCAATTCAGTAAAACTTCCACCGCTTACACTTACACCCAACTTACGTCCATTATTCCCGACCATCCTATAAGTACGAGGACTTTATTTTCCCTCCACCTCAGTCATTACCACATCCGTGTCTGACTGAGGTGAGTCTTTTCTTACTTACATTTAGATACTTAACACTAATGCTACTTGTACTTAGATCCTTGTACTTTAACAGGTAGCTAAGACAATATAGTCATCACCACATCCGTGTCTGACTGAGATCCTCGTATGTTAACAGGTTATGGGCCCCGTTGCGTTCTAACAAGAGGAACTACAGACACCTACCTGCTTTATTACATCACCTGTGACTCATAAAGCCTACTTCCCACACACAACCACAAAATGTTGTCTGCAAGTGCCAACCCCCCCATTTTCCCTGATGGGGAAAAATTTGATGGGACCAACTTCGCTGCATTTGAAACGCTCGTCATTATCGCAACCAGTATTCACGGCGTATTAGGCTACCTACAAGGAACCATCCATAATCCTGCTCCCTATCCGAATGCCATGACTTTAAATTACACCCCCACACTACCTAACGTCCCACTTCCAGACGACCCCACTCCATGGTATTCCAGTAACCCCTCCGGCACAGAGTGGGCCATGCACGACGCTTGGACACGTGCATTACTCCTATACAACACCAAAAATGCTGTCGGGCTCAGGCTTAAACTTGTTGGTACAGCTGCAGAAGCCTGGAAATCACTTACCACCCAATACAAAATATCCTCTGACCTCGCCGTGGTCACTGCACAATGCGACCTCCGAAATATCGTCTTTACCGACGGAAACGACTTTGCCACTCATATTTCCAACCTCCACACCAAATGGGCAACAGCCAATAATGCTGGAGCAAAAATCAACGACACCGATTTTTGTATGACCATTTTGTCGTCGCTTCCCGAGTCCTGGGATAGCATTGTTGGGACACTATACAAGGCAAAATCGTCCACGGACATCATCAGTTGCCTGATGATTCACTGGAACCATATCGACCGCTCCAAGTCAGTTACAAACCCATCCACCGTAGTCACAGCACTACAAACCGATGCCAAACGATCGAGAAATCAGTTACAATGTGCCAACACAAATTGTGGATGCAGGGGACATGTCATCGAAGACTGCTACTGGCGTGGAGGGGGAAAGGAGGGTCAATTCCCACTGGGTTTCGGAAGGCGTGGAGGCACAGGCAACACGACACCCACTAGGACCCCTTCTGTCACAGCTGCTCTCACAGATGCCTCTCCAACATCTGAGATCACCCTTGCACTCTTCTCAAATGTGGGGATCACAACTGCATTAGCGGCAGACATGGCGCCAGTCGAACAAATCATACCAACCTATGCCGATTCTGCCGCAAATCAGCACTGCTTCATAAATCGCTTGGATTTCTCCACTTACCATGCACTATCCCAACCCGATGAAGGACAGTCTGCAAATCAGGGAGGTCAGTTTCGAATCATCGGACGCGGTACAGTCACCAAGACTATTGTATCCGACTCACTGAAAACCACAATTACCTTCAAACACGCCGTCCACACTCCTGAACTCATCGCCAACCTTATTTCCATCAGCAAACTCGACGAAGCGAAGTGCTGGGCACTCTTCGGCGGTGGGGGCGTCATTTTCTACAACATTTATAATGGTCAGAAAAGGACGCTGATGGCGGGCACAGGAAACAATGGGATGTACTTACTGAAGGTTGAACCACCCACACACGCCCTCATTGCCCGCTCTCTCACAAAACCCAGCAATATTGAAGTGTGGCACCGACATTTCGGACACGCCGGTGTCTGCTCAATCACGGAAATGGCAAAGGGTCTCGTCGATGGCCTTGACATTGTGGGGAGTCTTGAACTCACTGGGAGATGTGAGGACTGCATATATGGAAAGCATACCATGCGCCCATATGACGAAGAGGTAAAACCCAAGAAGGAGGTCCTGGAGCGTGTCTACGCTGACCTATGGGGACCAGCTCATGTGCGCTCTGTCGGGGGAGCCGTCTACATGTTCGTTTTTAACAACGGGGGATCTTCTTACCATGTGGGATACTTCCTCACATCAAAATCCTCCGACACTACCCTCACTGCCTTTGCCGAATTCCATGTTAGGTCTGAGAGGGAGAGAGGGAAGAAATTGGTCTGGTTGAGGGTGGATATGGGGAGTGAATTTTATAACGACAAATGGAGGGAATACACGACACGTTTTGGCATCACTGTGGAGTTTAGCGTGCCCTATGCCCACGGTCAAAACAGAATGGCAGAACGTGGGATGAGAACAATCATGGAAGGCATACGTTGTCTCCTCGCTGAATCCACACTACCCCCTTCACTATGGGCTGACGCCGCCACCTTCACCATCTACATCCGAAATCTCATCCCCTCCTCACGTCACCCTGGCCTCATACCTGCAGAGATTTGGACAGGGAATCGCCAAGACGTATCACATTTGCGTCCATTCGGCTGTATTGCATATGCCAAGATACCAACAGAGATCGGTGTATCGAAACTTTCACCCCGATCAATAAAATATGCCCTGATCGGCTATTTTGGGCGCAGAACCTATAAGCTATGGGATCAGGCATCAGGGACCACGATCAAGAGCCGCGATGTCATCTTCAAGGAAGGCCATCGTCATCACACTATTTCCGATGATGACATGCCCCCACTCATCATGCTTGACGACGACAACAACCCCGTAACTCCTTTGGATGACACCAACACTCCTGGAGTTGTCGTCCCACCCAAACCTCTCGCACCACGACCATGTGCGACTGATCCTCCCATTCACCCTGTAGCCACCCCCTCAGACACAACCCCTTCCACCACTACATCTGCTCCTACGCTCGTGCTCATACCAACACCACCTAGATGATCCGCCCGCCTCGCCATCCTGGGGATGGGTGCGCCCACCGACACCACTGCCCTGCTGACCACCCTCCCAGACTCACAACTACCACATAGTTATTGGGAGGCTATGACGAGGCCTGACCTGTGGATGCTGGCTATGGAGACCGAGTGGAGTGTCTTGAAGGAGAGGGGTGTTTTCGAACTCATAGAGGCACCCCCAAACGCACATGTCATTGATTCAATGTGGGTTTATGCAAACAAGTATGACGCTGATGGAGATATCATTAGACGAAAGGCATGCCTAGTCGCAAAAGGGTACACTCAAATCCCTGGACTTGACTATGACCAGACTTACGCATCCGTCGTATGCCTAGAATCTTTCCAAATGGTTGCCACCATGGACCTCCACATCTGGCAGGTCAATATCGTCGCCACGTACTTATACAGCCACAACAAATTTACAACTGCCCGGGGGGAGGAAAACAAGGTTCTACGGGTCGTCAAAACCCTATATGGTATGATGCAAGGGGGATATGACTTCCAGGTTGAGATGTCGAGTGTGTATGAGTCAATGGGATATTAAAGTCACTGGCCAACCCATGTGTCCATTCCCATGTTATCAACAACGAATTCGCCATCACAAGCACATATACCGACGACATATTTGGTGCATCCTCGATGAAGGAAGGGGCAAAGAAGGTGAAGGA